TTTTTTTTTTTTCTAATTCATGTTTAGTACTGGAGGGGAAATACTATTTATGGATATCACAGAGCAATCTTTTAACCCAGCTTTTATGCTGACCTTAATGGAGTTATCCATCCTGATACTACTGAGGTAAATGGTATGGAAACACAATTTCCATAATTTGTTAAAAGTTACTGGAAAAAGAGTTCTGTATATTTTTATATTGTTGATATGTTTAATGAAAACAGTAGTGTAATTGTAAAAATATCCATCATTTCAGCAGAACTTCTGACCACTGAAAAATTTCTACAAAGGGCAAGCCTTCAGACTGGTATTAGATCTTCCCAAGATTTCATTAATATTTCTGACTTGACAGTTGACCCAAACATTTTTCAGGACCACAGTCAACAACAAATCTAATATGATGATGGATTTTTCTATCTCAAGGTACAGTTCTGTTCATTTATCTTTATTTAGTTTGTGGCTAAATTAAAATATGTTCTCCAGTTTATACTTGTTATATCTGCCTAGTAAGTGTGTCATTATATTGTGACTTAACTCTAGTAACACTTTTGCCTCAGCATTTAAGCAGCTTTCTCTTCATTAGCATTACCTAACATTTGTACACATCTTTCATTCTATATTAAAACTTTCTAAATCATTTCATTTCTGATCTATCTAATGAACATTAGTTTTTATTTTAGTCTAGCCTGATAATCTCTTGCTTTAGAGCAAGCATTCAGATTACTTGCATATCATTGCTTATAAATTTTAATTTATTTCTGCTAATGTCGTGCTTCTAATTTTTGCCCTAAGGTTTGTTTTTCCACTTTTGCCTTCTTTAGGATTGATTGATTTGATGATATTATATTTCATTTATCTCCCATTCTACAATACTTTGGAAGTTCTGTGCTGTCATCCTTTTCATTTAGTGGTTCATATTAGATATAACAATGGGCAACTTCTAACTGATTAAATACAGAGTTTTTCAGTCTTTTCCCAAATGATACAGACAAAAAAAATATGAAGGTTGCTTTACACAGTCAATGTTTGCTTAGATTTATACAGAAATTCACCACTTATCTTGTTCTCTTTCTTATTGTCCTCTTAAGTCTCCCATCTCTGATTCCTTTCTAGCCTAAAACTTGCTATAAGCACTGATGTGTTCTCTCACTTTTTGTCTAAGTGGGGTTACATTTATTCTTGAAAAATACTGTCATTGATATAGATTTCTAAATTGATCACTATTTCCTTCTGTATGTTGTAATATGACAATACTGTCTTTTAGCTTTCCTAGTTACACGTTGAACTTTGAAAGTAATCTTAAAATGTAATTTGTCTGCCTTTCTGAAAGCTTTTAAGATTTTCCATTTTTCTTTGGTTTCTATGGTTACACTATGAAGTACACTATGAAGTATTCTAGGTATAGTGGGTAGTTTTTTAATCCATCCTTCTTGGTTTCCTTGGTTTTCTTGACTGTGTATTGGTGACTCATTAATTCTGGAAAAACTAAACTCTACTTCCTCTCCTTGTTCCTTCTGGGAACAGCAGCAGCAGCAGCCAAGGCGAGCCGGCCGCCGCCCCCGTCTCTGCCGGCCGCCGCCCCCGCCGCCGCCTGCGCTGGGGCCTCTCAGTTCCTGCGACCCGGCCGCCCGCCGCGGCTCCTGCACCTTCTGCAAACCAGGAAGTCGCCGGGAGGGGGAAGGGGCGCGCGGGGGCGCGCCCGGCGGCCTCACCTGGGCCGCGCGGCTCTCTGGCCGCTGCCTGAGGGCTGACGGGGCGGGGGGTTCCCACGCCCAAAGTGGCCGCAGGGTGGAGGGGAAGTGCGAGCGCTGGCCGGAACAGCCCACGGACCGCTTTGCCACCCCGCCAGAAGGGCCAGAGGCGCCAGAAATGCCAGGTGCCCCTGTGAGCTGGGCAGGGGACTCGCAGACAGCTTTCAGCGTCCTGTCCAGACTCCAGGGCTGCAACGTCCCCTCCCACTCCCCAAACCCCCATGCACCTAAAGCCAAGTACCTGGGAAAAGTGCCTCCACTTGTAGTGTTTTTTTATACCACAGGCACTCGGAATTGCACCGATAATTAATGGTATTGTTTGCTAGAGTCTGTGTCCTTTTAGGGCGTTTCATTTCAGACTGCAAATTCAAAACTTAAGTTGAGGTTCCTGGCTTCTGCCTCACTCCACTGTGGCCTGATTACTGCTTTGAAATCTAGAGCTGCCACCTCCTGATTTAGGAATGTTCAGACATGTGCACCTGCTACACAGCAAAATGATAGGCCTCCACTCGCCAGCACATTCCTGTGCACGCACGGCAGGGTAAGCACGGGCTAACTTTTGGACACATTCACAAAGTGGCCTCGTAAAAAGGCTGTCAGTTGCAGGATCTCAGAGGGCACTGCTGAACATGAGGATTAAGAGAGACTAATAAAAATTTCTAAAATTTAGAGCACTCAAGTAGTTCAGCAGGTTATATACATTTTCTCAATACTTAGCATCTGCTCATTAATTCCAGATAAGAAACAAGCCAGGCTAATACAGTGCTTAATGGCAAAGCTGGGGCTCAGAGCAGTACTAACTGATGCTGATTATTCTACCTTACATTCCCTCTCTGTATGTTCTGCTACCTCTCTTCTGGAACCTTTTGCAAAAAAGTCATATGAGGACAATTCAAAAGATTGCCTCCCCTTCTGGAGAAGGCCTTCTCCAACTAATGGTATGCCCCTGCACCAAGGTCACTGAGTTTTTCAGCAAACA